CTACGTTTTATAAATGCTGATTCTTAACAGAAAAACATCTGGCAAGATGAGAGAAGGTGTAAATAAACAACAGAGCAAAAATGAAGAAAACAAATGCAGACACAATAGATCTTTAAAAAATAAAAATGTTTATTTCAGTAAGACCTTGAGAGACTGAATTAATATCTGGAAAAATATAAAATAAGAAGAAATAGGAAACAGGAATAGATCAATAATAGTGAAATAAATTGAAATATAATCTACTACTTTTTCCTGCCTCTTTCCCAAATTTCAGACCCAGTATACTTACAAGAGGGCCTACAAATCATCAAGAAACAAATTTCTATCTTCATAAGATATTTCAGAAATTATAAAAGCAGAGAAGGCCATACAATTTCTTGTATACAGCTACTGTAATCTTGATTTCAAAATGAGATAATGACAGTACAAGTAATGAAATTGCAGTTCCACTTCACTAATAAACATAGATGAAAAAAATCCTACATAAAATATGAGCTAACCATATCTAATAGTGTACTGAAAATTAATATATCGTGAACAAGTGAAGTTTATCTTAGAGTCCAAGAAAAGTTTAATGTTTGAAAAATCTATCAGTGGAATTGACCACACTAATAGACTAAAAGGAATACATCACATAATTTTCTCAGTAAATGCAAAAAAGGCATTTATTAAATTTAATACTTCGTGATACAAACAAACAAACTGTCTCAGAACACTAGAGACAGAAGGGATGTTTTATACATTTGATAGTGGTTATTGCATCAAAAACTTAAGTCAAGCATAATAGTAATGGAGAAATTTTAGCTGCATTCATAACAAGATTTGGATCCAGCATATATGCCTACTATTACTGCTACTGTTTATAAAATGCCCTCAGATTAACCAATAAATTCAAAGCTAAACCAATCAAAATTGCAGCTGAAATATGGAATAATAAATGTGCATTAATAGATGAATAAACTGGGGGGGAAATAAAAGCTAAAAGGGGACTTGCCAACCAAATAATAAGATATACTACCAAGCCATACTGTAGTGATAAATGCGGGATGGTTATGACACAAGACGAGACACAGTGGAAAAACCAGTGGAATAAAACTAAACATCAGAAACAGACGCAGGTACAGGTGGGATCTTGAGAAATTGCGCGTGTGGTGCCAAAAGTCAAAGGAGCATCTTCTGCTTTGCATCTCTGAGACAAGATCTGAGATCCTTTCATCTTGTCTCTCAGAAAATTCCACATAAACAACGTCAAGGAGGAAATGTCTTTGTTCATAGTGTTGACTCACAATGTGGAGGGACAATAAAAAACAGAGTCCATACACAGAAGAGGTGCAGGTAGATTAAAGATCTAATTGGGAAAGATAAAACTATAAGGATGATAGAATAGAGAAGAGGAGACTCTCTTTGTAACTTAGGGGTAAAAAAAGGAATTCTTAAACAATACTCCAATGGCACAAACCATAATTCTTTTTAAAAAAATAGGCTTTTATTATATCAGAACTACTTGTTTTCGTTGTTCTTTGCTCAAGGAAGGACACCAGTTGGTAGCAAACTGATAGTGATATATTGGGAGATGATATCTTCAGTGACTGAAAAAGGCACAAGACTCATTGACATTTTTGGCCCTGTGTCTATAATAGACCATATAAATTATTGATGTAAATCAGCAAGACAGGCATCCTAGTAAGAAAACAGGCAAAGGATATGATGATGAACTATTCATTCACAGCATGGGAAATCTAAGATAGGTAAGTGTATAAAGAAATGCTCAAACTCATTAGTTGTAAGAAAAATTTAAATTAAAAACAGCAACAAGACACCAATTTATGCTGTTCAGATTGGAAAAAAAATTCTGATCTTTGGAGAATGCCAAGTATTAGGGATACCCAACAACAGGAACTCTATTGCCTGCTGGTGGACATGTGAACTGGTATGAGCCACTCTTTAGGGCAATCTGGCAGTACTTTGTGAAATTAAGAATGAGTGGTCCCTATGACTCAGAATCCCAGTCTTCTATCCCAGACAATTCTCCCCTCGATCTGTAAGGGGACAAGGATGAGGATGTTTATTATAGCATTGTTGGTGGGGAGGGAGGAGAGTTTGAGACAACCTAGGTGCTTTCATCACTGGGGAATAGAGAAGTCAAATGTGCTGGATACACATGGGAATATTCTGCACCATTTAGACAACCAAAGAACTAGATGTATGTTCAGCAACATGGCTAGATCCTAAGAACACAGTTAATAGAAAAATGTTAGAAACTATGCAATCTATGGTACACTTACATACTATACTAAATCTATAGTGCAACAACATCACATGTCCATGAAAAATACACATAGGCACAATCATTTTTATGTATTTTATAAGTTCAAGGCTAAATATCAAACATATTCAAGAATTTGCCTCTGGGAAAAGGCAAGTTAGGAGTGGCAAATTAAGAAAAAAAGGAGAATAAATAAATAGAACAAGAGAGGGGTCATGTACATTTTAATTCTGTGCTGTGAACTCATGGATTATAATTAACTTAACCTTCTGCACATGAGGTTCAACAAAAAGGGATTGGTAAACTTCCAACAGTTGGGAAATCTTCAACTTCCAAATCAGTGAAGGTCAGCTCTAAGTTTTCCAAGTACACAACTGCTCATCTTGTGACATGGCGCCCACGTTTGCATGGCCATGAACATTATCTCAGTGATATACAAGCTGACTTTGTGGATGCAGCTTTTAGACTTGCACTTTCTCCTCAATTTCCTCGCACCCAGAACAGCTCTCATTTCAGCAACACATTGTATTCCACCCAAATCTAACATGAAGATAGCTTAATATTCATCTACAAAATTTATGGCACAAGCAATCTCATATTAAATGAATTTTGATCTTAGTGCATAAGAAATTCTCCATTTTTGCCAGAATCATTTCTTTAAAAGAAGTTATTCGTTTTTGTTTTTCTCTGAGGCAGCAAATGATTAAATGTGCTCTCCTCCCAGCCCACACCTGGGGCATTTTTATGTGAGATAGGATTAAGAAGTCCATTTTCAGCTGCTGTGGGATGAAAAGAGGAGAGCTATCATTTTGTTGTCTCCAAAAATCATGCTCTCCTCATTCAAACAGGAAAAAAAAAAAGTATTTGAGGGCCAGGGCCTTGGTGGAGGGTGAAACATAGTTTGAATTTGGGCTATTTATTTAAACTTCCTGGGCCTCAGTTTACCTATTAAGAGGAGATGCATAGTGCATAGGATTGTTGAAGGGAAGAAATGAAACCAGGCAGCTGGAGAGCTTGGCACAGTGTCTAACACACAGTGTGCATGCAAATAAGCAGCTTTAATTTGCTTTATTTACTGTTTGCTTTTATTTATTGCGTGCCTGTAATATTTCAGGTGCTGTACATTCATTGCTCTTTTTAGAACATTAGCAGCATCAAGGGATGAAATAATGTTTGTAAGGCAATCCAGGGGTTGAGGAAAACATTGCATTTTACATTTACTAGAAAAATCCTGGAGTCAGATAAAGGATTTCTCTTGAGGATGGAGGTCAAGGTCTTGGCCAACTATGTTCAGTAACATCGAGCTTCCAACTTACCATAGGAAATATTACTCAGGTACCCAGGTCTCCTTTTGGACAGAAACTATACTTATTATGTCTATATTCTTAGCAGACAGCAGAAAGCCTAGAACATTATAGAGGCTCAAGGAATTCTATACAACAGCCCTAAAAATTCCTCTTTTGAATGCAAAAATAAAAAACCAAAGCTACACAGCTAATCAATCAGTGATAGAACAAGGAGTTAATCCACTTGTTTTGGATCTCAAACCTGACGTTTTTACTTTTTCCCTTTTTTTGGCAGATGCTTGGTCATTTGGTCAAAAAATAGTGGGAGGAGAAGGGGTGGATTTCCAGCAACCTCTGTTATTGGCTTGTTTTCTCACAGACCACTAACCTTTTCCCAGAAGGTATTAAGCAGATGTTTAAGACCTTGAAGCCCCTTTCTGAATCTCTAACTTCCCAGTGCTCTTTTATATTCTGTTTTACTTGCTGGCCACTCATGCTTTGCCGCTGTTCCCTCAACTGAAAAACAAAATGTGGTGGATGACATCTTCCTGCCTGCTTGAAGAAGACTACCCCCAAACACCCACCAGCTCACTGCTAGCCCACCCCCCTATTTTATTTTCTTCAGAAGGCTTAGCCCTGCCTAAACTTATCTGTTTATTTTCTGCCTGTCCATTTGAATTGCAACATGACAGTGGAGGCAGAGTCCTCTATTTTATTCACTGCTGTATCCTCAATGCTTCCAACTCCACCTGGCCTCCGTCATTATTTGAAGTCAAATTTATGCAGACATACTTTTAAACAATATCTTCCACTTTACTGAGTGTTCAACTACGTGGCAAGAACTGTCCTAAATTTTAATGCATTTCTTCATTTCTATTCCTATTCACATTCTTAAAACATTCCAGCAAGGTGGCCCCACCATCCTCTTTTCTGAGCTCTCAGCGTTTCTGTAAATACCTGGAGAACATGAGGCTGGATTTAAGCCCCCATCACTCTTACCTTTGCTCTTTAGCTACTGTGCTCAGGGTTCGCAATGTCATCTGCCTGTAGTTTTTCTAAAGCCAAAGCACAGCGAGGCAGTTTGCTTAGTGGTTAATATGATAGAAGGGACAAAAAACAAAAACAGAAAACCACGACTGAATTAGGATCCCGATTCTGTATCAGTGGGGGTGGGGGGTGCACAGATCATTTTTGGATGCACGCACCATAATTGTTATCATCAGCCAGTCGCAGGTTTTCTCCAATTGCAGGGAACTCGCTTCCCAGGCTTCTGAGAGTCCAGAAGTGTCGAACCTGTCTAATCGACTGGGTTTGTGGGGCCCTGAGCTCCCTGGCGTCTTCCCATTGTGCGGGGCTGGCGGCCAAGTCAAGCTTCTCTGGCCTCCGCCCCACCTTCCCGGGCCCCTCCCCTCCTGGCCTCTGTCCAAGGCAGGTGACTCGGAGGAGCAGCAGGTGGGCTGCCCTCGCCCACTGCGTCAGAACGACGCCCACCGGGAGGTTACTGTGGGGCACACGCGGCAGGAGACACCCCCTGGAACCTCTCCTCTCCTCCCTAATGCCACGTTAAAACCCTCAACCCCACGTGCTGTTTGCAAATCTACCAGCGACTGAGGGACTGACGCTGGGAGCTAGAGACCTCACTCTAGAGCTAGAGACCTTGCTCTTGGAGCCAGCATGTCAGCTGTGGTCCTGGAGAACAGAGGCTTGGGCAGGAAACTCTCCGACTTTGGACAGGTGAGCCAGGGCCTGCCTCAGATGCTCAGGTAGGGGAGTTTGGTTCCCTGCAGGGGGGAAGAAAGAAGTCTGAGAAATGTTGGTGTAACTTAGTTTCATAAGCTCACCAAGAAGTCCAAATTCATTTGAAGATGAGAATGTCTAGCAAGTCAACAGGTGAGACATGTCCTCAACAGTTGTTTCCAAGTGGGACAAGATCAGTCCTATGTGGCTTTCAGAGGAAAGAGCGCTGCTTTAGGGATCGGGGGTCTGGCTTTCAGAGCTGCCACCAACTAGCTGTGTGTCTTTGGGAGAGTCACTGTCCCTCTCTGTTTCATTTCTCTTCTGTATACTGAAGAAGCTGGTTCTTAATGATCTAGGGTAGGAGATGGGGGTCCTTCTAGATCTCTTCTGTGATGCTTATAAAGGGTTCTCAACCAAGTATTGAAAAGGCAAAATTGTGAGAAACATCTTCTCACATTGGGGAAAAGGTGAAGCATGAAGAGGAGTTGGACAGAGACTTACTCAGACCTGGGAAGGGAGAACTAAGCAGAAAGGAAAAGGAACGGGAGTTAGTTAGCCTCCTAGGTGTAGATCGTGAAAGAACCATAAGTTGGCTTGGGGATAATGCCCAGGGTGTCCTCCATTCCCCAGGATTTGCTGGCATTCTCTTGAGGTGAACGACTGGAGAATACATTCTTTAGTTTGACTTCTATGTTCACAGCAAATCATGCTCCTGCACCCCAAGATGCAGCTGTGGGAGGTTATCTGAGACTGCAGTCCCCTGTCACCTGTAGGATTAGGGAGAACAATCCTCTGTATAGAACAGGGAGACTGGAGAGAAGAGGAGGGTGGGTGTTAAAGTTGATATAACTAGAGAGACTGCAGAACTTTGGACTGACTTTCTTTGGATCCTAAAACAAAGATTTCCTGTGCAAATGGTGTGTGGTGCTGGGAAAACAGAAGAAGTTGCTGTTGAAGAGGAACAACGTGGGAGCCAGACAGATCCCAGGACAGACCCCAGCTCCATCCTGCAGTTAGTTTCTGTGCTGCCAGCAGTAGCGCCCCCATGTCCACGGGAGGGGGTTAGGTGCAGCGATCTGGTTAGGGAAGCATGGGGACTTAAAGCTCTATTCATAGAGCACTTAGGAGGTTGAGAATACACAAACTGTTACTGCCAATAGCTGGGGCACTGGTAAAGAGGAGGGTTTCGAGCATGCCCTGGCACCACCTCTGCATTTAAAGCAGCGCATATAACTTAGCAGAGCTTCAGGTTTATTCATTTGAAAAACAGGAATAAAAATCTTCATGTACTAGGTGTAGTATGAGAATTAAATGAAATAGTGCTTATAAAGCTCTTAGCGCAATTCCTGGAGCATAAGAAAGTGTCGATGTGTTGGTCTAGACAGAACTGATTTGTTTGTTTAAGAAACTGATCTTAAACACTGGCAGGAAGGATGATCAACATGTCAGGCACTGAAGCTGGTAGAGCCTATTCATGGAAAAATCTACTGAATGTGGAGTCAGGAGGCCTGCCTTCTCATTTTTGATACAATGTAATAGGGAAGTCACCTAATTGGGGTGAGGAGGCTGAGTTTGACATCTGTAAAATTGGGGAGGAGGATGTTGGACTGGATTCATTTTTAGGACTAATCCTAATCCTTCCAGCTCTGACGTTCTGCAAAAGAGACACACTTTATGCCTTCTTAAAGTTCCCAAACCAGGTAAATACACACTGGATGGGATTTGGACGCAGTGCAGACTGTGGGAAGGCCCCACCATTTGATGAGGGCCCGTGATTGTCAAGTGCTTCACACATGCAAAAAACATGCAAATTCTATAAGAGAGGTTTCGTGCATTCAGTCATCCAACAAAGACTTATTGAGCACCTACTGTGTGCCAGGCACAGCAGAGTTTCTGTCCTGGTGAAGCACATAGTCTAGAGCTGGAGACAGACAATAAAAAATTAATAAAATGAACATATAATTTCCTATAGATAAATACTATACAGAAAAATAGAGCAGGGTTATGGGCTAGAAGAGAGGAACTCAGAAATCATAGCTGAGGACAGTGAAGCCAGTGTTTAGACCTAGATCCGACTCCAACCATGTACCTTTCTCTGCTATGATACTTTCTCCTGTAAATAAATGCTGAATTTAGAGACACATTGTGTCCATGGCAGGAGATCTGCATCTTGTTTCCAGTAATCTTACACTGCAGATGTGGGTGCGTGTGTGTACTCCCACATGCAAATATACACCTCCTACCATGACCCCAAAAAGCACTAAGATTAAAAGTTAGTACCCTTGGAATATCTTTATCAAAATGTATTGCTTGTATATTTGTACACTGCTCTTTTCCAAAGATAACAAAATACACAACCAAAGAGAATATTTTTCTATTGTTGAATGTATTGTTAAATGATCAAAAGTCTTTCTTCCTGGTTCCTAGAAAAAATCTTTCTTCCTGGCTGGGTACGGTGGCTCACACCTGTAATCCTAGCACTCTGGGAGGCCGAGGCAGGAGGATTGCCCAAGGTCAGGAGTTTGAAACCAGCCTGAGCAAGAGCAAGACCCCATCTCTACTAAAAATAGAAAGAAATTAATTGGCCAACTAAAAATATATAGAAAAAATTAGCCAGGTGGCGCATGCCTGTAGTCCCACATACTTGGGAAACTGAGGCAAGAGGATCCCTTGAGGCCAGAAGGTTGAGGTTGCTGTGAGCTAGCTAGGCTGACGCCACGGCACTCTAGCCTGGGCAGCAGAGTGAGACTCTGTCTCAAAAAAAAAAAAAAAATAGATCTTTCTTCCTGCCCTATTTCTACCTATATAGTTTTTGAGCTACTTTTCTCTATCTTTTACCCATCCTGTGTATACATGTGTTTGTTAGTCAGCTCACATGTCCTGGTTGAGTCTGTCATTAGGAGGCAGAATGGACTTTGGAGTTGTTGCATCTGTGTTCAAGTCCAGACTCCACCACTTATTAGCTAGGTGTTCTTGGACAAGCCAACTCTTGCTGAGTTTACGTCTTCATTTGCAAAATAACAGCACCTACCTCAGGGAGCTATTGTGAAAACTAAATAGGTTACATGTGTAACCCTTAGAATAGTGCTAGTTGCCGCCAATGATGATGTTTAATTAACTGTGAAAAGTACCAAGTATGGCTCCTGGCCCACAGTGCATACTCACTCATTCAATGTCAGACCCTAGTATTTATACTGTTATACTAATAACAGCAAAGAGTGGCGCCTTATCATATAGTATATATGAATTTGCAGATACATTTGGAAAAAGTTATGATAAAAAATTGGCTGTGTATTTGTTAAGGACCTCAATATTTTCTGTGGTTATGAATCATCTGGGATGGCTTTGATATTGAAGATTCTAAGACCCTACCCCAACTATTCTAAGTTGATAGGTTTGGGTGAGGCCCAGGGGCCTGCATTATAAGAGACTCACTGGTAATTTTGGAATGGAGAGAAGGAACTCACTGAGAAGCATTGACTTAGAGAGGGTATGGGGAGGACACAGCGAGTGAAAGGAGCTGGGCATGGCGGAAACGCAAGCTCTTAGGAGTGGTATTGAGTAACTGGTGACTGGACCAAAGTGAATGTTTTATTTCACAAGAAACAGAGACCTAAATTCCCACATTATGTCCATAGCAAATGGAATCATGTAGAACAATTGATACTTGGGAGCCTGAGTTTTTGCCACACCTCCACCACCTGTGTGAACTCAGGCGAGGCATTTTAGCTCTTTGGCCCTAAGTTTCCCCATCTGTGAGGCAAGGGAGTTGAAGTAGGTGAACTCTAAGGACAAATCTCAGTCTGTGAATCGGCTGCTATCCAGTCCCAAGTGGGTATCAGAAGCCGAATGGAATGCATGGACCCAAGAGGATACTGCACAAGGCTGAGGGGCACCCAGGTTTTCTGAGAGAAGTGAGCCCCAGGAGAGCCTTTGAGGGAGGCTGAGGTATTGCAAAGGGGAATTCAGTGATTTACTCTAATGAGGAGTTAAAAAGTCTAGGAAGGGGCCGGGGCACGGTGGCTCACGCCTGTAATCCTAGCATTCTGGGAGGCTGAGGTGGGAGAATTGCTTGAGGTCAGGAGTTCAAGACTAGCCTAAGCAAGAGTGAGACTTCTGTCTCTACTAAAAATAGAAAAACAAATTAGCTAGTCAACTAAAAATAGAAACCAAAAAAAAAAAAAAAAAAATTAGCCAGGCATGATGGATCATGTCTGTAGCCCCAGCTACTTGGGGGGTGGAGGAGGCTGAGGCAGGAGGATCGCTTGAGTCCGGGAGTTTGAGGTTGCTGTGAACTAGGCTGATACCATGGCATTCACTCCAGCCTGGGCAACAAAGTAAGAGTCTGTCTCAAAAGAAAAAAAAAAAATGGCAAGGAAAGAACCAGCTTGGCTGGAGGGGAGGTTCTTGTGGGTGGCCCATTAGAGGTGGACTGTTGAACATCAGCGAGAGGCATTTTAACCTGATGGCCATGGGGAGGGAGCCTTGAAAGAATGCTGAGTAGAAGGAGGCCATGAACAAAATTCTGTTAGGGCTGGATCAATGCACATAACTAAGAGCTGGATTCAAGTGACGGCAGACCTGACACCAACAGTCCTCTCTGGAGAGGGTCAGATTGGACTTGGTGATTGGCTGGATACCCAGAGGAGTGGGGTAGGGACTGAGTTTCAAGCATGGGTGCATTGAAGTCTGAATTGCCCTAGTCAAAGGTGGCATCTGTGTCAGGAATATATTACTTTTCTTGGAGGCCCATAGGAGAAAAGAGTCTTGCCAAGTAAACTATAATACAAACAAGGAAATCCTTTGTCATTTCAAGGAAACCATAAAAGATGAGGAGCTTAGTGTTCTCTGGTAGGAAGAAAGAGACTGAAGTCAGAGACTCAACTGCACCTCTTTGGGAGGGTTTAAAAGAGGGAGGGGGGAGATTCTGCAAGAGGTTGTAATTCACGGACATATGCAGGGCTTAAATGGCCTGGGTTCAGATCCTAGCTGCGCTGCTGATTACATAGTCATGGGAAAGTTATTAACCTCTCTAAGGCTTGATTTTGTCATCAATAAAAGGGTGCATAATAAAGTCTACCTCTAGACTGTTACAAAAATCAAATGAGATATCCAAATCAACTGCTTATTATAATACCTGGGACATTATGGTCTCTTAATAAATGGTCCATTAACAAAATTTTCTGGAAAGGTAACATCATGATCCAAATAGGGATATTTTATGGTTCAGTCTTCCAATTCACCTAGAGCTCTGTATAATCATGCTTGCTGATAAATTTGGTTTTTTCACCACACCCCTATATTCATGTGAGGTTCTGGGAAAACTCTGAATTTTCTGAATGGAAAGAATTTTGTCCTATGATCATCAGTATTCATGCAGGACTTATTATTCTGAGTCACTGTTAAAAATCTGCCCAACACAGCCTTCTCTCATTGAGATGATGCAACATCCATCCCATTAAGTTCATTAATATGCTTACAAGAGAGTAATTGTTCTGCACATTTTTTTTCCTTTCCAATTTTAGGTACATGCTGTTGTTGTTGGACACATATAGAATTTTATATATTACTTTAAAACTTAGGCAAATGTTTTGGCAAACCCTGGAAGGTCAATCTTAATCCCACCTTAGTTTGTTGCCACATGCATGTAGTAAGTGTTAGATCCTGGACATTCTTTGCTATTTAGTTTAAGACATCCATCTTCTGAGAGGATATCTGTGTACTTGTATGTATTTTGTGACTTTTTTACACAATTGGATATTGTAGAGTCCAGCATATAGGAATAAGTTAATGCTTCCTGAGATCTTTGCCAAAGGCCAAGAGGTCATTCTTGTGTACCTATAATATCTCCATCACTTTTATATATTTCCTTAATATTCTATTTAATAGTCTGTTAAATATTTAAACTTATCTTTTTCTTTCTTTCATCATCTGAATACTGTATTTTGATAGGGCTTATTATTATAATGATTTTACAGATGAATAAACTAAGAAGGCATAGTGATTTGCCCAAAGTGCTTTAGCTGGGAAATAACAAAGAGAGAATTCCAACCCAGTTCTTTGGACTTCAAAGCCTGAGCATGTGTATGTGTGGTACTTTCCACACTGTGTTTCTCAAAAGTTTTCCTGGGACATTTTAAGTGTCATCATATCACCTTTGGATTTGTTGTGTATATGTCTATTAAGTCAGACTGTGAGCTCCTAAATGATAGGGTATTGTCTCATTCATCTTTGTATTTCTCAGAGCCTGAATAGTGCCTGGCACTTGGTATACATTAAAAGGTATTAAATGTATAGGGTCGACTGGTGACATCAGTGAATAACCAAAGCTACCTTGAGTTGAAAACTGACCCAGTAGCATCATTGATCACTTTCTTGCCCTTGACTTGCTTATTTTCCACCATGCTATATACTTCTGCATAGAGTATATGTGGTTCATTATATTTCCAAGGCTTAACTAGAAGAAAGAATTCATGCTTGCCTCATTCTTGGAGGTTTAATGGGAATGGATTGCTAAACTGTGGAAAACGTTTTAACCAAATGCATCTTATCCTGTAGGAAACAAGCTATATTGAAGACAACTCCAATCAAAATGGTGCTGTGTCACTGATCTTCTCACTCAAAGAAGAAGTTGGTGCACTGGCTAAAGTCTTGCGCTTATTTGAGGTAAATGCTTTATTCGTGTTTGTCTTGGACAATGGCATAGCACATGTGCATGTTATTTTCTAGTTATATGCAATGAAAAGAACACAGGATCTGAAACTGAAAGACTTGATTTTCAACTCAGGCTCTTACATTAACCCACTGTGTGACCATAGTTAAATCAGTCAATCTCTCTGAGCTTCAGTTTCTCTGTTTGTAATATGGTGCTGAAAATGCATGCCTTATCTGTTTCAACAGGGGTTTTGTGATGAAATTTTGTGAAATGCCTGAATACATGTTGCAAACTATCATAAAGATGAGACAAAATGGAAATGAAAGAGCCATTAATTCTTTCATTCACTAAATTAGTATTGTCTTCTATGTCTAGGCATAAGATAACCAATAAGACACCATCCCTTTCTTCAAGCAGCTTAACCTCAGACTATGTTCTAGAAAATAGCTAATGTTCTTTAAGACATTGGTACATGTCTTATGATTAAAGTGGTTCCATGGTAAATACATTTAGGAAACTTGGGGCCATATCATTTTATCAGATTTCTTTATTGTAGGACTTTTAGAGTCTATAAAACTGTAATATATACTAGGTCATTCCAAAAAATAAATTATGTATCATTTTCCAAGCTTATTTGACTGTGGATCCTTTTAATTTTAAGAACATTTTATTAATACTTTGAAACAGAGTTTAGGAAATGCTGATTTTGGCTTTAGCCAGGCATTCGAACTTCATATAACTCCAAATAGGTTTCCTCATCCAGATTCCTCCCAAGTACTTTTCTAATGTTCTACCTGAGATTTTTCCTACCTGAGGATGCATTGCTTTTTACTCACTTTTCAGTGATATCTCTAGCTGATTGGAGGCCAGGGGTAGCATGGTGGTCAGTGTTGCACACAGCACTCAATGTATTTGGTTACGAATTCAACAAATCCTTTTTGGATATGGCTGGATATAATGAGAGATCTTGTATAAACCTATGATGTTCTCAGGACTATGGGAGGGGAGCAAAGATGGGGAATACATAGAGTCAGAAGGAAGAGAAACTTCCTTTTTTTTAGGATCTAGCAAGGAAAGCAAACACTCTTGAGTAGATGGGGAGCAGGGGTGGGAGGTGGGGGGCACGTGGGATGGTCTCTCAGTGACCACACTTAGCAGAAACAGGCTCACCAAATCTTATGAAAATAGCATGAGGTAGGGGCTATTTCTATTCCTATTTTTCAGAGAAAGAAATGGAAGCTTAGATAAGTTAAATAAACTTGCCCAAGGTCACATAGCTAGTAAATACTGGAGATATTATCTGACCTCAGGCATTCTGACCCCAGACTGCTAACTGCTATTTAGTACTGCAGGGATCTGGACTGGCTTCATAGTTTGCAGGGCCCAGTGCAAAATGAAAATGCAGGGTCTCTTCTTCAAATAATAGGAGATAAGTGCTGTTAGAAGTACTAAAACATATAACTTTGTCTTTTCTTTTGTAGTCACTCTCTTGTCCTGTAGTGGTGTTTTTGGTTTGCTATTTTTGTTTTCCCTTCCCCTGGGCACTGTGGCCCACCAGTTGTTGGATTCCCCCTTCAGGCAGCACTGGACTGACAGCGATGTGTCCATCAAGGGCGGAGAAACCCATCTCCCATTTCCATGGGCCTGCTGTACCAACCCACAGTGACAAGTAAGCCCCTCCCCAAGAGATGGCAACTTCTGGATGGAGGGTAGAAGACAGGCTGTCCCATGGCCAAGTCACCCACAAAATCACCTACCAAATCCCCAGTGGGGGAGGGTGGCAGCAGAATAGGGGCTTCCCCTCCCCTCAAGTCACCTGGCCACAACTCTGGGCAGAGGGCAGCAGCAGTGGTGAGGGGAGGCCAGGGAAGGGGAGGCTTGGCAGGCCTTGAGTGCAGGAAGCTGGGAGAAAGTCCCCTAGAACCCCTGCCAGGGGCAGGGGGTAGAGGACAGAGGTGGGATTGCACGTGAGCTGAGGCTCCAAGCAGCCAGCAGCACATGCTTCATTGACCCATTGGACTTTGCTTACCAAACACATATTCAAAAACACATTATTAAGAATTTCAAGAGGGCCACAAAAAGCATTCAACCCCAAGTGTGATCCTCATGGGATGGCACTGGTCGCACACCCAGGAAGTTGGCCTTCCTCGAATGCATTATTAACGCCATCTTCTCAGTGTTCCCAAAAATCTTTATACTTTTAACTGCAGCACAGATTTGCCTTGTTCAGTGTGTACATTTCTGTCTGGCCCTGGGGATAGTTTCTTCAGGAAGAGAACCTTGTCTCAGTCTTCTTTATAATCCTCAACGGACTCAGAGTTTTATATATATTAAGTGTTCAATTAAGAATGAAATTGAAGTTAAATAGGAGAAAAGGACATTAGAATATTTTTACTCGTCTGCCCTGGATTTTAAGAAGGAATATATTTTAGCCTGTTCATTTTTACCCTGTGTTCTTTAAGAAAATTAAATTGAGTGATTGAACCCATGAATAAATGGAGAAAAGACAGATCTCTCATGTTGAAGAATTTCAAATAATTCCAGTAGATACTCCATCCTCAAAGAGGAAGAACATAACTCTTTAAGTGTGGGCTTTGCATAGTGACTCCCTTCCAAAGAGTATGATATGAAAGGGGAGGGGAAGAGTAACTTTATACTGGAGAAATATGACAAACACACCCCAGCCAGGTGACCAAGGTCAGCATCCTCAAGAAAGGAGCCAAATACAATGGTAAAACAAACATTTTTTTTAATAGTAAAGAAAGAAAAATCAATGTCATCAGTGATACATGATAAGTCGTGTTGATAGGATGTATCCTTGATATGATGTAGTGAAAATGACACTTTACCTCTGTGGTCTTCCTCCCCCAAACCCATAACCGCAGCCTAACTAGGAGAAAAAAAAATCAGACGAATCCTAATCAAGGGACATTATACAAAATGCCTGACCAGTCTGGCTTAAAGCTCTCAAGGTCATCAAAAATAAGGAATGTCTTGTCACCGCCAAGAGGAAGGCTGTGACATGAGACTGAATGTAATGTGATATCTTGAATGGGATCCTAGAACAGACAAAGGACATTAGATGCAAATTAAACAAATTTGAATAAAGCATGCCCTTTAGTTTATAAGAATGCATCAGTATTGGTTCACTAATTGTAACTCATGTTCCACTCTCACGTAAGATGTTCATAATGGGGGAAACTGGGTCTGGGGCTTGTGTGAACTCTTGTACTGTCACGCCAATTGTTCCATAAATCTAAAATTATTCTAAAATAAAGTCTATTAAAAATAAATCTATCTATCCAAAGTGGCAGAAGTGTATGTCTGGGTGAGAGCAAGCAATGTGTGCAGAGAAGACAGAGCACTTTCTAAGTGACGAACTGTTCCTGAGAAAGAATATATCTGTAAAATGTGCTGTGTAACTTTTAGCCTTTGTATTAGACAACAAGTCAGTGTTTTCTTTCCTTGAGAGTTTGCCCCTTAGAACTAAGTCAAAGTTAATAGATTAAATAATAGTAAATGAACAGGATGTTTTCAACCTAATAAATAAACCATAAGTAACTAAATTATCAGAACTGGCTGGAATACACTCAAGAATTCTCTCTCTCTCTCTGTATATACAAACACATACCCTGGGTGAACTCTTTGAAGCATTATCCAAAATCTCAACTGCACAGATCAGTAAGTGATGTTATTAAACCTATTTTACAGAGGAGAAAACAGAAGTCACTGGGTGATTGGTGAAGAGTTGTTAGTGTGTTTTGGGTTTTTTCCCCAAACGTATTACAGAAGTTGTTCTAAAAATCATATAAGCCAGCATAATTTCTCACCTTATTAACAACCTAGCAAATTGCAGAGTTAAGTTATCATCATTCAAAGGGAAAAAATCAAATTCTAGTATTTGCAGAACCACATTATGTGATAAGCCAGGCACATATGGTTCTTGATTTGATCCTCATTGAACTCAGTGGAGAAGACAGTACTCTCACTTTATGGATGGTGGTTCTGAGAACTGGTGGTTCTCAGTTCTGAGAACTGAGGTTCTGAGAGGCTGAGTAACCTGCTCAAAATCACACAGCTAATATACTATAGCAACAGACTTGGACCCTGGCTGTCAGAGTTCCAAAGCCTATGATCTCCCTGTTATACCCAACACCTCTGCCAAATGCAGCATTCCCTGCACATCTGAATCACTTCTGGAAAATTTTTTTTTTTTTATGCAAGTATCCTGGTCCCAGTGTCCTACTCTTGGGGGAAGGAGTGTCTGTCTCTGGGTATTATTCTTTCTTTCTTGCAAATTGAAAAGTACATCAAAGTACAAGAAAATTAACTACTAATATTCCCACTATTCATTATCAGCCACTGTTAACATTTTGACATATTCACTTTCAGCCTTTTCATGTGTGATTAAGTTTTCAAAAGTTACAGATTAACAAACAGTTCTTTAAGAAAAAAAAAATCATACATTAAAGGTAAAGCTATATAGTCCTTTCTAATCTCCTCTCAATCCTGATCGTCCTAAAAATGTCCTGGCCAAGGCCACATTATTTTGAGCTTAGTGTATTTCTTTCCAATCCTTTGAAAAATTATGTTGATGTTGACAGTTGTCATGCTGTGCACATTGCTCTGCATCCTCTTTGAGTCAGCACAGTGAGGTAGTCAAGAGGGTAGACTTGGGACAGACAGGGCTGTGAGTTGTAGAGAGTTGCTTGACTCCTCTGTGCCTCATCCATAAAATTGGAATAATACTAGTGACTGCTTCATAGGGTAGTTCTGAAGATTAAATGACTTAATGCATGTAAAACCCTCACAATGGTTACTTATTAACTGTTCAGTAAGAATTACTGTATATTTTATAAATGCAACCTCTTTGAAATATATACATGTTGATGATTCATATAGATCAAGTTTGTAGCTTTTAACTTCTGAAATGCAATTCTTACTATGTGCATACCACATTTTAGTTATCCATCCCCCTATTTTTGGTATCCATGGTGTTTCTGTTTTCTTC